ATCTACCTTATGTAGTTAAATGTATACTTTTGCTGAGCCTCCAGGTTCTAGGCTGGATCTGGAGTGAACCACGCAGCTAGTGAGTGAGTCTAGCAAACCATCCAGAACCAAATCTTAAGGCAGCTTTCTAGTTCCAGGCTCTTTGTCATTGATGCAGAAAATCTCGTAAGGTGGTAAGGATTTTTTTCTTTTTGAAGGGAAAAGAAGTCAAGAGGACTAAAGATGATAGTTCTGTCCAGACAGAGAACGTTTTTATGGGGATGATGCATTAGATTCTGTGATCTAGTAGAACATGTAAATTTGAGAATTTGAATAGACCTAAGGGATAGATCCACCAAGAGGCCACTAATACCTAACATGTGGTTACCACTTCACAAATGAGCTAATGCTTTCACATCACTGATTTTTCTGTTTTCTGTCTTCTTTTCCTGATGGTTTTCTTTTCCTTTCTTTTCTTTCTTCCTTCCTTCCTTTTTATGATTTTGATCCTGTTCTGCCTGCTTCAATTATTGTCTTTCTCATTTTACAGACAAGGAAACTGAGGCTTAGAGAAGTTCAGGAGTTTCTTCATGGTCACACAGCCAGCAAGTGGCAAGCCATATACTCAGGGCTTCTGATTCCAAAAGGGAGGACTCTGCTCTCTCAGTTTATCTTCCACTATTGATTATGAAGTTAAACAACTTTAACTGTAATGTTTAATGTTAACATTCTAGTTAAATTCCTCTTAAGTAATATAAAGTATTTAAAAATGTTTTCTGATCAGATAGTACCTGAAAATGGATTTTAAATATGCTCCTTAATAATTTTTATATAAAAAGAAAATGTGGGAGCACCTGGGTGGCTCATTCGGTTGAGTGACTCTTGATTTCGGCTCAGGTCATGATCTCACGATTTGTGGGTTCAAGCTCTGCATCAGGCTCTGCTCTGACAGCATGGAGCCTGCTTGGGATTCTGTCTCTCCCTTTCCCTTTGCCCCTCCCTGCTTGTGCTCCCTCTTTCAAAATAAACATTTAAAAAAAATGCACACTGGTAAAGCACAGGTAAACACACACTGTAAACACAGTTAATGCACGTTGTTTGTGTAAGAAAAAGTAGGTATATGTCAGCAGAAAATTTAAAATTAGATATCCTATATTTGGGTGCCTGGATCGCTCAGTCAGTTAAGTGTCCAACTTCGGCTCAGGTCATGATCTCATGGTTCCTGACTTTGAGCCTCACGTTGGGCTCTGTGCTAGCTGTGTTAGCACAGGTCAGAGCCTGGAGCCTGCTTTGGATTCTGTGTGTCCCCCCTCCCCCCACCCCGCCCCTCCCCTGCTTGTGCACTGTCTCACTCCGTCTCTCAAAAATAAATAAATGTTAAAAAAAATTAAACATAAAATAAAATTAGATATCCTATATCTAGTACTTTAAAAACATGGATCTGGTGAAGCAGATAATAATAACAGAGGCTTGTTTATATTTAACCAGTTGTTGCTAATCTGTCTAGTATGAGTAAAAATTAAGCAATATACAGATGGCTATAAATGAAATACTTTCAAACTGAATAATATTAGAGTGTTCAGCTGAGTGAGAAAAATGACTATCTAAGTCAAGGGCAGACTAGTCCAGTCCTGTGCTCCACACATGCTCACTAGATAATTATTCAGAGATTTTCAAGCTGATATGTATGTATAGGGGTGGGGGGTGTTATACAGTTTTCCTGGTTTATTGAGATGTAATTGACCTAAAACATTGTATAAGTTTAAGGTGTACAACGTATTGGTTTGGTACACTTACATACTGCAGTGTGATTACCGCCATAGTGTTGGCCAACAGCACTTTCACTTCATATAGTTACATTTTCTTTTTTTATGGTGACAGCATTTCATCCACATCCTGGCCAACACTTGTTACCACGCGGCTTTCTGATAACAGCCATTCTAACACGTTTGAGGTGATATCATTTTGGGTTTGATTGGCATTTCCCCGATGATGAGTGATGCTGAGCATCTTCTGATCTACGTTGTTGCCCCTTCAGATGTCTTCTTTGGAAAAATAGCTATTTGGTTCCTCTGCCCAACTTGTTATATTTGAAAGGGAGACTTTCCAGAATTTGTCTCATTCATTGTTTTAAAAAAGGAGAAATGGAAACAGATACTGTCAGCACCGCTTAAGCACAGATTGGAGACTTTGGCTGGGGACTGCAGAATGGTTGGGTGCTTCCATCTAGTGGTAGCGTGTGTGAATTGCAGGATCAGAGACAAATGTCATCTTCAGTTCTCTTCAAGAGACAGCAAATGTGAAGCATTTGATGATGGATGCAGGTGCATGGCTTTGATTTTCCCTTTTAATTTTTGTAGAGAGTAAAAGGGACTTCTTATCTATTATAATATCGTATGTATTCTCATCTAGTATCGGATGCCTTTGCTAAAGCATCGAGTGCAGCTTACATTTTTTTTTTCTGAATTAAAAGCCCAAAGTAAATGCTTGTGTTTAAAGCTCTTTTATAAACACTTTAGAAAGAGGATTCCTAAAATCAGCATTTTCCCATAACATTAGTTTTTTATTCTCTGTAGTCTCTCCTGTGGCATAATATAAGAATGTGGATTAGAAGAGGCCTGTGGGCACACGGCTCCAATTGAAGAAACCAGGAGAAACCAGGGGGAATGGAGATGTATGTGGGGGAAACAGGAAGTTGCAGTAAAGCAGAGGGACAGTGGAAAGGGATGGTGGGAAGAATGGCAGCAGCCATAGAAGGCCCCCCCTCCCCCCCCCCCCCAATGCTTCAGGTCATTTCCTTCAGCTGAAGTTCCCCAGGGCCAGCTGGTTCATCATTCTGGACCTTTAGTGCCAGTCTCTGTGTAGACTACCCTCTTTTTTCCTTCATTGAGCTAATACCTACTTACTTTTTTCAAGATTCAGCCCAGGTATCCCCCCTCCTCGGATGCTTCTAATGGTCATCAGTTTAGGTGACAACACTCCACGTATGTCACACCATATGCATGTTCCGAACCTGCCAATACTTTCTCAGCCCAGATGTGTGGGGAACATCCCTTTTCCCTTGAGGGTGGGGCTGGGGGCGGCCTCTGTCTGGGCTTGCTTGTCCCTGATGGTGAGCAACCACCTCTATGCATCTCAGAGCTGTATTACTCTCTGTGCCTGGAAGGTCAGGAAGTACGCCCCCAATGAATGATTTGTTTGACTGTTTCCCAGTATTCTTAAGACAGGCTAATAAATTGGAAGTTGAACTTGTGTCCCAGTCGCCTCGCCCACTGTTTTCAGAACTCTTCTTTCCTCACTCGTCATGGGTTTTCTCTCTTTTGCTGATTTTTTCTTCTCTGTGCGACCCCCAAATAAGGGGAGTGCTCCAGGGCTCAGGCTTTGGACCTCTTCTGTGTCCTGCCACCCACAGTGGTGCTTCTCAGACTGTCATGTGCCTTCCCCTCCCCTGGGGGTCTTGTTAAAAGACCCGATGAAAGTAGGTCTGGACCCAAGGCTCTGAGTTTCCAGGGGTCACATCCAGGCCAACAAGGCCCGGGACGGCCTTATCTCGTCCAGTCTCGTGACTTTCTAACACCTTGGTGCCAGGTGCCAGGTTCTGTCTCCAGCATGGACCCCTCACCAGAACTCCAGACTCACGTATCCATTCGGCTACCTGAGAGCTCCATTTGGATATCTAAAGAAATCTCAAACCTGGTATTTTGAAAATTTCACTAGTTGCCCCCCTTAAGATGCCCTCTCTGACCTCTGTGCCTACAGTTTCCCCCTTTCCACATTTCTGTCCAGCCACAGGGTCTCCTCAATGTCCTCAAACAAAGCAAGCATGTGTAAGATGTTCCCGAAAGACACACTGCTTAAAACAAGAAAAAGGAATGAGAGCAAGTTGATTCTCGCCATCAGACTGATGATTTGTAATTGAATTTTGAAAATACCATATGACGTTGAACACAGCTTTGAAATGTATGCCGTCTTGTCTCGATTTAAAAAGCAATACGCTATTGTACTTAATTTTGTATGCAACAGTCTATATTTAGTCCTAGTTTAACAAAAGGTGTAGTTACCAGCCTTTCCTAATTTGCTAAAAACAAAAACGTGGTGTCATCTCACTGTTGTTAGGACCTGCCTTCCCACATCAGTAAAATGCACAGCATTTACTCTCTGCTGGGTTAGTGCCGACAAAGCTGAGCGTAGTTACCGTTGATTTGAAATTGTCTTGCTTTTTACTGGGGATTCATATGGGCCAGTTTTTTTTTTTCTTTTCTTTTTAAGTAATAATGGGAGCAAGCTAGAAAGTGAGTATAAAAAGATACATAGCGAGAAGCAAGACTCCTTCCTGTCAGGCATCCCCTCTGACCAGGTGATGGTGTGTCCAGTAGTAGTTCGTTGATTTTCTGTTTTTTTTTTAAATTACTTTGCCTGTTTTATTAAAAAAAATTTTTTTTTAATGTTTGTTTATTTTTTTAATTTTTTTTTTCAACGTTTTTTATTTATTTTTGGGACAGAGAGAGACAGAGCATGAACGGGGGAAGGGCAGAGAGAGAGGGAGACACAGAATCGGAAACAGGCTCCAGGCTCTGAGCCATCAGCCCAGAGCCCGACGCGGGGCTCGAACTCACAGACCGTGAGATCGTGACCTGGCTGAAGTCGGACGCTTAACCGACTGCGCCACCCAGGCGCCCCAATGTTTGTTTATTTTTGAGGGAGACAGAGTGCAAGCAAGGGAGGGGCAGACAGAGAGGGTGACACAGGATCTAAAGCAGGCTCCAGGCTCTGAGCTGTCGGCACAGAGCCTGACACGGGGCTCGAACTCACAAACTGTGAGATCATGACCTGAGCTGAAGTCAGATGCTTAACCAACTGAGCCATCCAAGTGCCCCCAATTATTTTGCCCATTTTAATTGTTGACATTATGAAAGACGTGAAAATCATGCTGTGAAATGCATACTCATGATGAAATTAAATTGTAAAAATGATCACCATGATGGGTGCTTTCTAAATCTCGAATAGAGGAGTCGTACATGGAACGTTGTCCAGGGTGGGAATCCTCTTGAGTTCAGAAAGCGCCTCCTCTATCAATTGGAGCCCCTCCAGTCTTACTGTGTTCCCACAAAGCGGGCCCCTGCACTTCTGCTCCATGCCCGCCCTCCATCTTGTATGTGGCCCTCAAGCCCTTGGGTCAGCTTTTCCTTTGAGTCTCTTACCCTGTCTCCCTCAGTGATTTGCTCCCTGGTTCTGTCTCCCTCTCCCGTGACTCAGTAAGCAGATTCTCATATTGTCCGCTTTCCATGAGCAGGAACCGACCTTCCTGATGATCCTTCACATTGGCTTCCAGCTAGTCTCTCCTGTTCAGTAGGTGTTTACTGAGTGAACTTGCCCAGTGTTTTTATTGGCCTCAATGGCCAAGAGAATGGGTTTTGGTGTCAGATCGTGGTTCTTGTCCCAAATCTACTGCTAATTAGTTGTATGGACAAAGTTGCTTAATGTCTCTGGGCCCTTCTTCAGTAAAATGGAGCCCATGGTGGTACTTGCATCCTGGAGCCGCTTTGAAGGTAAAATGGGATTGATTGTGCAAAAAACTCAGCGTGGTGGAGACGGCCCACGTGTCCACTGACCAGCGAGCGAATAGGCAGAACGTGTGTGTCCATTGTGCTAAGTGCAATAAGCCAGATATAAGGACAAATGATGTATGAGTCCACTTACACAAATGTCTAGAGTTGGCAGATTCACAGGGACCACTGGGAATGGGGAACTGTTGCCAGATGATTAGAGTTGCTATTTGGGGAGATGACCGGGTATTGTGATGGTTGCACAGCACTGTGACTGACTCTGATTAGGGCCGCTGAATTTTAAACTTAATCGTTAGAAGGGTACATGGTATTTTATGTATTTTACTAGAGCTTAAAAAAAATAATAACGTAGGGGTACCTGGGTGGCTCAGTCGGTTAAGCATCTGACTCTTGATCTCGGCTCAGGTCATGATCTCACAGTTCATGAGTTCAAACTCTGCATTGGGTTCTGTGCTGATGGTGTGGAGCCTGCTTGGGATTCTGTCTCCTTCTCTGTGCCCCTCACCAGCTTGTTGTCTCTCTCTCTCTCTCTCTCTCTCTCTCTCTCTCTCAACATAAATAAATAAACTTAAAAAAATAATGTAGTATGCCAAAAATAACTGAATCATGTATTTTGAATGGGTGAGTTTTATGCTGTATGAATTCTATGTCAATAAAGCTGCTTTAAAAATCTTAGCCTAGCACCCGGCATGTGGTAAGTACCTAATAAATGGTAGTTGTAGTTGTCATTGTCTATCCTTAGTGAGTCACCGTGATTCCAATTTACATTAGAGGGGTATTTGATGGCTAAGTAAGGCTTTGTCTCTCTTGGGTTCTCCCCAACTTTCTCACCTCTCATTTCTGTACCTCAGAGTTATTGATTTAGGGGTCATGACCCCCTGCGACAAGATACTGAAGGCTGCCGTTGAGCACAAAGCAGGTACTGTGCCTCGGATTTCTGGGCCCTCCGAGTGTCCTTTGCCCTGTGTCTGTCTGTCAGTAAGTGGTGATGCCCCAGCCTATCCAGCAGGTGCCAGCTCCCGTGGGGGGTGGGGGACTGCTTTCACTGTCATTGATGGTGGGGGTCGAATCAGTGAATAGGTGACTTTGAAACTCCTTGCAGCTTGGAAGACAGGGAACGAAACAGGCTTCTTATTACAGGGTTGCATTGGATTTTTTCCTCCACATCTCATCGTCTCATTGTTTTTAATGTTTCCCACCGTGATACGTCCAAGTCTGGGAAATCGTGAACAATGTATTTTATTTGCATGGCTTCCCCCAACTGTGGAAAGTACACTGTTGTAACGTTAAGTTACAAATCCCATTTATTATGTAAAGCAAACAAATAGTAAATCGAAACTCCCCAGTCAGGAGAGATGTCTTAGAATTAGAAATGGGGAGTCGATGTGAGTTAGGTCTTACGGTCTTTATTACAGAGTTGCTAAAATGAGTCTTCCATACTTCTCTGCTTTTGTCTCATCTTCATTCTCACTGTCCTTTCTTCTTTTTTGAAATACTAGATATAATAGGCCTGTCAGGACTCATCACTCCTTCCCTGGATGAAATGATTTTTGTTGCCAAGGAAATGGAGAGGTTGGCTATAAAGATTCCGTTGTTGATTGGAGGGGCGACCACATCGAGGTAAGTCATGCTAATGAGCTCCTTGCTGTCCTTTAGATTCATTTAAATGCCGGTGTTTACAAACAGTGATGAAACCTGGGTTGTTTTTTATTATGCTTAGCTCATCGGCTCCTTGTTCTATAAGCTCACGAGCTGTCAGTCTTCACTTGGACAAGGGCCTGGGCCAGGACACTTCTGCAGCACCCTGTAGGAAACTTCCTCTGTGATCTCCCCGCCCTTTGCCTTTTTTGGGATTCCTTTGGCTTGTCATTGTCTTTTCCTTAATCCTCTCCCCTCCCATTCAGTTCCTGAGATTTCTGTTAAACTCTCCTCTTGAAATCAAGCCAGGTGGAGAAGGTGTATTTTTTGGCACAAAGACATTTCTTGAACTTTAGCCCACTCTCTGTCTTGAAGCAGGTGTCTGATTGAGTAATTACAGGTTCCCTTGAAGAAACTCCAACCTGGAAATAGTTGAGGCAGAAGGCCAGCCTAGCAAGAACGAATCAGAGAATCACCTTGGGAAGTTGTTTCTGAAAGGGGGAACCTTTTGAGAACCTTTGGATTAAACAGTTTAAAGAGGAAAAAGTTCTAAGTTGGTCACATGGCCATTACAGAGTTTGTCAGATTTTTTTCCTGAGGGTCATGATCATAATGATGTTTGGGGGGAAATATGTTAATTATGGGCACTGTTAGACTTTTTATGACATATTCTTTATGCCCCATACTGTTTACTTTGGCAGGGAATAATGCCCAGGGGGAACACTGAACTTGATCCTACACTAGAAATGACTGTGCACTAAGCCGGGTTTTCCAGAAAAACAGAATCTGTAGGTTGTGTATATATATTTTCTTTATGTAGGTTTTATATATCACTTTGTATTATATTATTAATATAATACGTACACAGAGAGATGTATTTTAAGAAATTGGCTCATGTGATCGGGCGGCCTGGGAAGACTGACATCTGCAGGGAAGGTCAGAGGGCTGGAGTCCAGGCAAGAGCAGATGTTGCAGTCTTGATTCCAAAGGCTATATGGAGGCAGAATTCCTTCTTTCTCAGAGGACGTGAGTCTTTCCTCTTAAGGTCTTCAATTGATTGGACGAGGCCCACCCACATTATGGAGCATAATCTGCTTCACTCAAAGTTTGCTGGCTTTTTTTTTTAAGTCTATTTTTATTTATTTTGAAATAAGTAAGTGGGGGAGAGGCAGAGAGAAAGGGTGAGAGAGAAAGAATCCCAAGCAGGCTCTGCACTGTCAGCACAGAGCCTGATGTGGGGCTTGAACCCACAAACTGTGAGATCATGATCTGAGCCAAAACCAAGAGTCAGACACTTAACTGACTGAGCCACCCAGGCACCCCAAAGCCTGCTGGTTTAAATGTTAATCACATCTAAAAATTATCTTTATAGAAATATCTAGATTGGTGTATGACCAAAAACTAGATCATGTGGCCTGGCCAAATTGACACATAAAATTAACCATCATCCCATTTATAATCTGAATGGATTATTTTCACAAGTAGTAACAGTGTTATATGTCATTTATTCACTAAGTACTTTTCATGCTTGAAGGACTCAATAAGGTGGCTGTTGTCGCTCACCTTGGAAAGCTGAGTTTGTTTTTCCCACCAAGGACTTACCCACTAGGATATGTGGCAGATTATTCTCCAGGGATGTGACCAACCGTTGATAGCTGGAGTTTCAATGAGCATAGTCTTGGGTAATTGATTATTTTAACGTGAATATTCATTAGCTTAGTAAAGAGAATGATAAGAGAACTTACAGACCTTTATGAGCATGAAATGCTTTTGGGATCATGGTTGTAAAACAGAATAAATAAATATTTAAAGAAGCAGATGTAACGAAACGTATTATGAGCTAGGTAAATGTGATGTGCAAATTGGAACATTACAAAATAGTCCATTCTCTTATATCTCTTACCAAGTAAAAGCCACCAGATTAAAGAGGTTTTTTAAAAAAAAAAAATATCCAGAGGCAACATAACTACTTTCCTAAGATCCATCATAAGCAGAATTAGCCATCAGTGCCTCCTCACAGTTATAAGCTGGGATATCAAGTTAGAATTCATCAGATTGGAAGTCACCCACTGTCTCTCTGTGCGGTTGCAGAATTTCTGTTCTCGGGGTCTGGGGAAGGGCGCTGGGGCAGCTGGGTCCCCTGACCTGCCAGAGTTCCTTCTTCTCTTTACGAGCTCTGCCTTCTCTGGTTCTGTTCTCTTCCATGCCTGTTGCTGTTTCCAGGAAATTACTTGGAAAATAAAAGCTAGTGGCAGTCCTTCCAGATAACCATTCCCTTCTCCATTGCGGTGCCAGAAACGCCTGTGCAGAACAGATTTCCTGTGCAATCTCTCAGAGCCTTGGTGTAACCCTCCCCCCTTCTGACTCCATTCTAAAGTAGTGACCGTGGGTGAGGCCTCACTTAGCGGTGCGTAATCAGGCCCTCATATTTGAGTAAGCCCTTTGACTGGAATGTCGCAGGCATACAGAAAAGTGCACAAATCACAGATACACAACTTGATGAACATTTACAGAAATGAACCCCCGGTAATACTGCACTCTGGGAACTTTGCTGGGTGCCCCCACCCAGTTATCCTTTACGACAGAAGTAACCACTGCCCTGTCACCGTAGGTTGGTTCTGCCCGCATTTCGGCTTCATATAAATGGAGTCCTGTGGCGTGTACTCTCTTGTGTCCAGCTTATTTTGTGCAGTGTTCTACCTGGGAGGCCCAAAGCAGCGGTTACAGTAGTTGCTGTTCCACTGTGGTGCAATATTCCGTCGTATAATACACTGCGGCTTAGTCATCCATGTGACTGTTGGCAGGTATTGGGTTTTTCCAGTTCGGGGCTGTTTGGAAGAATGCCACTTACTGGGTCATACGCACGTGATCATTGGTGTTAGACATTGCTGGGTAGTTTTCCAAAGTGATCGTATTAATTTACATTCCCACCGGCAATTATGAGAGTTCCAGTTATTCCACACCTTTTTCAATTTTATCCATTTTAGTGGGTATGTAATAACATCTTGGTATGGTTTTCCTTTGTATTTTCTTGCTGATTAATGATGCTGAGTACCTTTTCATGTGTATGTTGGCTGTTAATGCTTTTTAAGTCTTTTTTTTTTTTAATTGGGTATTCTGCCTCTTTTCTTACTGACTTGTACATGTTTTTTGTTTATATTGGACGCAAGCCCTTTATTAGAAATATATATTGCAAGTAGATTCTTCCATTATGGCTTGCCTTTTGCTATCTTAGTTGTATTTTTAAATAACAAAGTTTTTAATTTTCATGAAGTCTGATTTATCAGTCTCTTCCTTTACAGTTAGTGCTTTTTGCATCTCTGTAAGATGCCGTCTACTCCTGGGAGAGTCAGCTTTGCTAGAAGGCATTCAGAGTTTGAATGTCTTAGAAGCCCTCTGAGAGCCCTTATTATTGCCTCCTGTAGACCTGTTGAGAGCTCAGCAGTGTTCCAGTTTTTTCCTTTGCTAACTGTTATTTGAGCAGATGGCAGCTCAGGACTTCCAAGTTGTCATGAAAGAAGATAAGGAGGTAGAACTCCATGGCTCTTGCAGATCTCCGTGGCCTGTGGTGGCATGATAGAATTAGAATTGTACTCCCAAGACATTCACAGTGAGCCTTAAGGCTGTCTGATGGATCCTTGGAGAAGCCGAAAGGACTGTACCGATTAGGGGTCATGTGGGCACGGAAATAGGCCCAGAGTTCCCTTTTGAACCTGTAGCTGTAAGAGAATGGAAAACCGAACATTCTCCTGTCTGTCATGCGTATGGTTTTGTGCCACAAACTAGAATTGACTTTAATGGCAATCTGGCCCTGTTAGCTACATACCTTCTCAAAGACACAAGTGTGGCAGTTAGCTTTTCTAAGTGGTTTAGAGCCAATAACTGCAAAGTGTCTTTTTCAGTTATTTTTTGAGAGTAATGGAGAATTCAGAAGGAATTCAGTGCCCAGAAATAGAGGTAATTTTCCGAACTTAAATATTTTTTAATTGTTAGGAGGGAAGATGCTGAGTGATATAACTGTACTGTTTTCCTCTTTGAGTTGGCTGCAGGGAAGTTCGAAGCTCAGGCCTGGGTGTAGGATTTCAGGGACCCGACTTCTGCGTCTGACCCACTGCTCAGTGTTCGTGCCTTTATTTCCTCTCTCGTTTTTCTCACCAAATTCTAAGGTTTTATTTCTTATTTATTTGTGTGTGTGTGTGTGTGTGTGTGTGTGTGTGTGTGTGTGTGTGTGTGTGATGCTGCATTTAGGTAAAACATTTTAATTCTGGAAGGATAAGGCATGAAGTAAATGCTTGGAGTACTGGTTCTTTTTCAGTGCTTTTCAAAAAGACCTTCTAAAGTTAACCCTGTCATGCCCATTTGGCAAGTATGGGAGGCGACTAACTGGGTCCCCGGCATTGGTGAGTGACTTAGCAGAGCCAGATTTGAGACTGAGCCTCAGGGGGCTAGCCCCGTGTTGTTGGTTTGTAGGAGGGAAGGAGGGATTCCAACATTATATATCTTTTCAGACTTCAGACAGAAGTCTGCCTCCAACTGGAGAGGGCCGCATAAATGGAAGCTTAGGAGAAAGTAGAATCAATATCATACCGTTTTATAAGGAAACCAGAAGTACTCTTGATGGCCAAGCAAGCACAGATTTAATGGCTGTCCTCATTCGGCTTTGTCATTTTTTTATGCTGGAAAGCAACACTTTGCTTTTATGTGGTGGTGGTAGTGTTTTTAAAAAGTGGAACCCATCAGTTTCTTCTTGGTACCCTTGTCCAGAGATCACCAGTGTGAGAATGGCCGGAATTGCACAGAGAACGCTTGGATGCTTAATAAATACTAATTATGTTGACTTGAAGGTTTAAAACTATACTGGTTCTCTGTAAGAGAAATGTCAACTAAGTCACATTAGGCTTAGTGTTTCCTAGAGGAACTCCATGCAGAATATACATTGAGGTACATTTGTGTGCTTGAAGAACTGACCACCTAAAGAAGAGGAAGCAAACAGTCTCGCTTATATTCTGTTGTCAAATTGGAAGCAGTTTCTTCTTTAAAATTTCCTGGGGCGCCTGGGTGGCTCAGTCAGTTGAGCATCTGACTTCAGCGCAGGTCATGATCTTGCGGTTTATGGGTTCGATCCCTACATTGGGCTCTGTGCTGACAGCTCAGAGCTTGGAGCCTGTTTCAGATTCCGTGTCTCCCTCTCTCTGCCCATCTCCTGCTTGCGTGTGTGCTCTCTCTCTCTCAAAAATAAACATTAAAAAACAATTTTTTTTTAATTAAAAAAACAAAAGTATTCCTACTATTTGAAAATCTACCCCTGGGGTGCCTGGGCAGCTCAGTAGGTTAAGCATTCGGCTTTGTCTCAGGTCCATGAGTTCGAGCCCTGCGTCGGGCTCTGTGCTGACAGCTCAGAGCCTGGAGCCTGTTTCAGATTCTGTGTCTCCCTCTCTCTCTGACCCTCCCCCATTCATGCTCTTTCTCTGTCTCAAAAATAAATAAACGTTAAAAAAAAAACTTAAAAAAAAGAAAATCTTCCCTTTGTAGAATACCAAAGATATTTTCAAATCTTTGGTCCCTGGGCACGCAGCGGACACAAAACACATCCTCGGGACGCAGTGGAGTTGGCGTGGCTGCTTCAGGACCACGGTCTGGTTCTCCCTGCTGCTCTGCGCCCCAACGCCCGACTCTGGAAGAGTCTCTTGCACTCAGTGGCTTAAGCCTGCACTTCCATTTGATGGCTCACTTCCTGTGACTTCTGGCTTCTGTCCCCTGCTTCCTGTCCGTGTGTGGAGATACTTGCACAAAGGGGACAGGTGAAATGTCAGTCTTGTCTGTCTCACTGCAAATGAATTTTTAGTCATCCCTCAGAAGTCTATTAAAAACACACACATACATCAGTCTTCTCATATCCTCTTGGTTTTAAAAATTTCCTCAGTAGTCCAAACTTACTATTAGAACATGTCAGACACTTCAGAGGAACGTAAAGTAAAATTTATTCTCTCCCTTCCCGTCCTCCGTTCCACCTCCAGCCGCTGTGTAACCAGTGTTGACATCTGATGTGTATCTGGTTTTTGCTAAATGTATGGAAACTCCTATGTAAGGTTGGAGGGTTAGGGTGGGTTGAGGGTGGTAGTGTGGTTTTTAAAACACAAACGTACTGTTTGGTATTTTGTTGTTTCCCCACATAGTAGCATAGTCTGGACATTCTTCCCAAACGAAATGCATTTGGGCCGAGAGGGAGAATGTGAAAGCATCTGATGCGGGGAGGAGCTGCCTTGGGGGCGAACGTGGGTCCAGCAAAGACCGGCAGGGATGGCCCCCTCCCTGCCCATCCTGGGGGAAGTATGGCTGCCGCCCTTGACGCGGCACTGCGGCCTGTGCTCAGGGCCCTGGTTTAACCGCAGTCGGGAGGGCACGCGGGTCCATCCTCACCCCTCATGTAGTGGGCCGTGTTCTGTGAGGAAAGAGCGGGTGTGTACCCTGTGCGGTAAGACTGAGTCTCCAGAGACGGCTTACCGCGTACTTCAGTCAGGTCGTCTCAAGGACTGAAGCGTGTTCCTCACCGCTGATGTTCCCGAGTCTGGCAGGAGGGGTTTGGGGCTGAGCCGACGTTAGTAGAAGACTGTTGCTGCTTATGCCTCTCGGTTCCTTCGTGCCAAATTTATTCAGGGTCCGGGGCCCCTTATTACAAGTGCGAGGTGGGGTCAGGGCTGAGGAGCGTGGCCGGTGCGTCCTGGGCCCGCCGCCTTGGGTCTGGTTTCCCGGGCGCCCTGGCTGCCACCCCAGCTCATTTGGGGGAGGAAACGCAGTCTGACCTGTATGGCAGCCAAGGGCAGTCACCTGGGCTGGTGAGCTCCCTCGGTTCAGGCAGGCTGATAATGAGTGCGGCGTCACGGTCTCGTTCCCAAGGGCAGAGAGCTGAGGACAGGGTCTTCCGTGTTTTGTCAGATTTCTCGTAGCCTGAGCCGACAGACCCATGTCTTCTCCCCTTGGATTCCCCGTCTTAGGGTGGGGAGGAAGTCAGTCTTGTTTTACGAGGGACACGTGAAGTTTGTTCTCTGGAAAGCACCCTGTGGAAACACGTTGTCTCTGATGGTTCCAAACAGGGGTCATGTGGGAGCTGTCAGCACTGACGGATATGTTTTTCTTCCTGACCCCTCTTTTTAGAACCCACACGGCAGTTAAAATAGCTCCGAGATACAGTGCGCCTGTCATCCATGTCCTGGACGCGTCCAAGAGTGTGGTGGTGGTAAGTGTGGGGCCTTCCGTTATTTCTGCTATGTGAGGAGAGGGGAAAAGATTGTGTTCTGAATAAGGGGTATTTCCCAAGATGGTCTTTTATTTTTGTCCAGTTCTACTAAAATATGTGAAAGAATGTGCGAGGGCTTGTTAGGATGGTGTCACTGTGGTCGTCTGCATTGCTGGAGGGGGGCCAGGTGAGCGTGTCCTGTGCTTTCAGAGACCGCGTCCGAGTCACCGAGAAGCCCTGCCAGGATCCCTGTGACCTCGACACCAACCCAGAGGGAGAGAGATTTCAGCCACTTACATATATTTACAAGTGTGAACATACATTGTCTTAATTCCATGCCAAGGCTAGAAGGAATGTGGAATTTTTTAAACGACCTGTTTCCAGATAGAAAGACATTTAATCTGGAATGGGCCGGTTGGCCCTACCCAAAGAGAGAAGAACGTTCTCTAGATGTTCATAATCCAGAATAATAGATTCTTCTTCTCGGTGAATGTAATAAACCACTTTCCTGAGTGGTCTTTTAGGTTTTTCTCTGTCACTGAAGCCTAATGTCCTCTCTCATTACGTGTTTCGTTATTTTCATTGACTAAGAGGACATAATAGCTGGAGGGAATCTGAACGACCATGTGGTCCAGTGGTTTCCAAGTTTGTTTTAGTGACAGAAAGCTTGTCTTCCAGCGATGTCTTACTTGGAAGCTCAGTACAGTATGAGTTAGAGCAGCCCCTCCTATCCGTCACCCCACACCTAGTTCTTGAAAGAGCACAGTTTGAAAATTGCTAGTCTATGGGGGCGCCTGGGTTGGTTGAGTATCTGACTCGCTTTCGGCTCAGGTCATGATCTCACAGTTTGAACTCGAGCCCCACGGCAGGCTCTGTGCTGACAGCGTGGGGCCTGCTTGGGATTCTCTCTCTGCCCCTCCCCCACTCATGCTGTCTCTGTCTCTCTCATGTAAATAAATAAAAACTTAAAAAAACACAACAAACCAAACCCGCTAATCTAGTCCAGCCTTCACATTTGTAGGCGAGGAGGGTTACCAAGGAGGGTCTGGGGATTTGTGAAACTATCAGGTGACATGGTGCAGCCCGAAGCTCGGGTGGCCACATTGCCTGAACCGTTTTCCAAAGACATCCTTCCAGATCTGTGAATTTATTTATATGGAGGTTGTACAATAATTGCTAACTTTATTAAAAATCGATAGTGTGCCAGACACTGTGGTGAGTGCTTTCCATGGATTTTTAATTTAATCTCCATGGAGCAGATACTCTCATTATCCATGTTTAGAGTAGAGGAAACAGGCACAGAGAGGTTAGCACCTCTCTTGAGGCCACACGTCCATCAAGCGGTAGGGTAGGGCGTGAAGGCCGGTGGTCTTACTCTCTGCTGCACGAAATGTGCTCCCATTAATGTTCAGTGATTCTTATTAAAAAGAATACAATCATTGGCTCCCAGGCGGCTGAGTCAGTTGAGCATCCAGCCTTTTTTTTTTTTTTTTTTAAGAGAATTATTGTTGTTTAGTTTCTATTTTTAAATTGTTATAAACTTTAATTATTTAATAATTAGCGTGAATAATTTAATATTCATGCATCCTCTTCTGTGAACTGTCAAATCTTACTGACCTCCTTATGAATATTTATAAACACTCTATATACATGACTCTGTACTTTTAATACTGTATGCTTCTTTTGTAGAAAGAGTTTTCTTTTTCTTTTTCTTTTTCTTTCTGTTTTGAATTTACATCCAAACTAGTTAGCATAGAGTGCAACAATGATTTCAGGATTAGATTCCTTAATGCCCCTTACCCAATTAGCCCATCCCCTCCCACAACCCCTCCAGTAACCCTCTGTTTGTTCTCCATATTTGAGAGTCTCTTATGTTTTGTCCCTCTCCCTGTTTTTATAATATTTTTCTTCCCTTCCCTTATGTTCATCTGTTCTGGAGCATCCAATTCTTGATTTCGGCTCAGGTCATGATCTCAGGGTCGTGGGATTCAGCCCCATGTTGGGCTCTGAGCTGGGCCTGGAATAAGATATATTCTCTCTCACTCTCTTGCTTTCTCTCTCCCCTCCTTCCCCCGGCCCCTCCTCTGCTTGCACTTTCTCTCTCTCAAAAAAGAAAAAAAAAAGATACGGTTAAATCAGACTGGAATCATAAAGTCACATTTTTATTTACTCTTGACGTAAACTAATGTGTAAATAAAGTAGGTGTCTCCAAGTTAGTTTCGGGACAGTTTTTGTATTTTACATTTGAATTGTGCTTCATAAGGAGCTTGTATGGAGTTCATAGTTGACTAACCAGTGGACCTCTTTTTAAGGCTTGTTGCTATTTTCAAATGCTAATGAATGACTGAACATTTCTCATACGGAGACCAGGCCCTTGGCCCTCTTCAAGTACATGGTGCTAGCATTGCATCAGGGGAGGACTTTGGCTGGGAGGAACCAGCCTCTGGATTCCATTTTGGGTTCCCTCCTTCACCGTCTAGAAGAGCTAAGCAGTAAGGGCCGAGCTGAGAGCCAGAAGATGAGCGCGGGCACTGGTGCTCCTTATGGGTCCGTCCAGCTGGACCGCCAGCAGTGGTTAGTGCTTCTTGGGTCCAGAGAAGTGGCCACCTTCTGAAATTACTCAGACATAAGTCCAACAGTAAGTTGTTTGGGTTGTCGCTAGTGACGCTTTTCAGGATCAGTGGTGCAGTTTGTTTAGGCCGATTGTTGGTTCCGTGTCTTCGGGCTCAGCTGCGAGACGCATGCCAGCGGCCTGTGCTCTGGGTCACTGGCGCAGGTGTTCGAAAGAGTCCCAAACATGGCAGCGACCTGGTAGTTGGAGCTTTAGACCTCAGGATGCCCCTGCTTTCTTTCCTTTCTTCTTTTTTTTTTTTTTTAATTTATTTCTGAAAGAGTGCAAGCGGGGGAGGGGCAGAGAGAGGGGGGCCGAGGATCCAAAGGGGGCTGTGCAGCATTGAACCCGATGTGGGGCTTGAACCCACACGCCGTGAAATCATGACCTGAGCCAAAGTCAGACGCTCAACCGATTGAGCCACCCAGGTGCCCCTTCTTTCCTTTTAAATAAACGAGGTGCCAGTATTTAGTTCTTTCTAAATTATAAAATATATTTTCAACTTATTCCCTCTCATTCACTGCTATTGTCACCAAGAACAAAGAATAAAAGGAGGAAGAGGGAAGCTGTGCGGTGTCCAAATGGTTGGCATGAAGACGCGTGACTGGGCTGTGGTTTTATGGTGGAAAGATCATGAAGATTAGCCTGTATAATTGACCACGGACTTGTTTCCATCAAGCAAGTCAGACTGGGCGTGGAGGGACTGGCTTGTCACTTTGGCTCTGGGAACAGGGGGCCCCCCAGGGTGTGTTCCGTCTTCCCAATAGTCGCTGTGGCAGCGTATGGTTAAGTTCTTTGGATGTTTAGAAAAGCAGGCTTTTGCCTTCTCAGAGTCTAAAACCTAGCTGAATGCAATATTGTAAACAATATTTTAAGACACTGGTTGCATGTACTTTGGGGAGCTGTGGAGTAGGCATCCCTTTGCTGTTTTCATTGAGCTCTGCTGGTTTTCCTAAACGGGGACTCCATTGAGCCGAGGTTAATGTAAGGCTGGGAGGTACCCTGTGGTGTGAACACCATTCAGGAGCCTGTTTTTAGGCTCACCGCAAGGGTCTTTTCTGATTAGGCTCCTTAAGAAAGTCGTCTGGCTTTGTACTAACTCTTCGGGGATCGGATTGCTGGTAGAGATGCTTAGAAAAGTCACACAGAATCATAGACACTTAAAGCTGGTGGGCCCTTGAGCCATCGTCCGGCCTGCCTTGCTCAGTTTCACATCATGGTTCTCAGCTTCCCTGCCCTCGTGTGTGTGTTGGGGGGGGGGGGGGGGGGGG